TATAAGAAATGATGAGCAGGCTGACTTCAGAAAAACCTGGAAAGACTTGTATAGACTGATGCTGAGTGAAGTGAGCAGGACCAGGAGAACACTGTACACAGTAACAACCATGTTGTGCAATGGCTAACATTGATAGACTTAGCCTGTCTCAGCAATGCAAGGATCTAAGACATTTCCAAAAGTCTCATGATGGACAATGCTATCCACATCCAAAGAAAGAACTATGTAGTTTGAATGCAGATCGAAGCATACTATTTGCCATTTTTTTCTTCTGTTTGGTTTCCTCTTTCTTGTGGTTCCTCCTGTTGGTTCTAATTCTTCCTTACAACATGAGTAATGTGAAAATATGTTTAATAGGAATATATATGGATAGCCTATATCGTATTGTGTGCCGTCTTGGGGAGGGAGGGGGAGAGGTGGGGGAAGAAAAATTTAAAACTTAAAAGCTTATGGAAGTGATTGTTGATAAATCAAAATAAATTAATACTTTTTTTAAAAAATAAAAAAAGGAAGACTACCAGAAACCTGTGGCTGCTCTGAGGGGAAACAAGCAAGGGGAAGCAGAAGGTACAATTGCACAGAGGCCCTGGCCAGAGACAGAGCAGGGAAAGGGCCAGGGCAGTGGCCAAGCACCTGGAATCCTGCGGGAAGCATGCTACCAACACAATCAACAACAGCCCTGTGGGGCCTTTCAAGACCTCATCAAGAGCTGGCACCAGCTTCTGGGACAGGACTGTGCAAGTAAGACAGAGAAAGGGCTCAGGCCAAAACCCCAGTGGAGCCAGTATCTGTGCAGAGGGTGGGGCCTCATCTCAGCCTCCTCATCCAGAACAGTGAAGGACTGGAGGCTGACCTGAGTACAAAGTCCCAGTACAGAAACTGAGGCTGGAGATATGAGTAAACAAAAGAAAGCTAAAACCACGACAAAGCAATGCTATGGTTGAGACAAACAACTAAAGGTAAGCACCCAGTTCACAAGGACAATTACTTAAATTGCAGTATCCCAGGCGAGCATCACCCAGCCTTCATAGAGTGGCCACTAGGCATGTCCTAGAATCTCAGTCTCCCTTATCCCCAAATGTAGTTTATTTTAAGGAGTTTATTTTTAGTCTGCTTTTTATACTGCTTCCCCTGCACATGAAAAAATCTAGCTATGGCTTCCTTGGCGGGTCTGATATCTATGTAGGAAATTATCCTCTATTTCAGACATGCTGCCAATACCAGAAAGTCAAGAACAATTGATACAAAATGCGCCATGTTTCAGAGACACCCTATGCTTCTGCCAAGCACTAAACCCACCATCATCATTCTCAAAATAGAATTGAGAAAGGCTTTCAAGCCAAAGAGGGAATCCTACCAAAATGTCATCTGAATTACTTAATATGTTTGAACAGTATCGAGTTTTACAGCTCCCCTGAAGGCACATTAAACAGCTCTTTCACCTCCTGAAAACTTTCTCCAAAGATATCGAAATGTCATTTGGACACTCAGTGTGCATCCGGGCTTTGAGCTTGAATCTGGAGGTTAAATTAACCGATGGATTAAGGCAATACACGCCACGTTCCTCGGTCTTTTCCAGGTCAGTCACACTGAGTAGAAGGCTATCAGAGAGAAGCTGAAACTGAATATGTTAAGAGACAGATGAGCATCCTGAAGTCAAACGTATTGTGGGAAACACATTTGAGTCGTTAACACCTACACAATACCGGTCTCACCGTATACTTTTGACCTGGTAAAATGAAAGACAATGGATCGAGAATGTATCCAAACCAAAATCAATACAATGTCAATGAAAAACAGGGTTCATTACCCCATGGCAGTTATAGAAAGTTGAATATTTTCTCACTGCAAAGGTGAAAGGGGATTGACAGAGGCTCTTAAAGAACATGATAAACAAGGTAAGAACATGCAGAAATGCTTTTGGAACAAAAAGACCTTCTGAAGAAACAACAGAGGCTAACTATAGATATATATCACTGCATTTGTTGAATGTAACCAAAAAGTGTTTTCTCCAGATGGAGCCTATGACATTGCTGAGGTCCAAGAGTGGAATCAAAAGCCCCTCTATGGGTGACAGCCATGTAAAACTCAATCAATGATATTGCCACAAAGAAGCATTAAACAAATGGCTGAATCGTGCATATTTATCTATAAAAACCAGGGGGTTAATCATGGCAATTCAGGACCAGGTCACTGCCACCAGAAATTACAAAAAAAGACTAATATTAATAAGAGTGGATTTATTGACCAAGGCAGATTATGCAGCGAAGTGTAATATGTCACACAGGATGCAAAAATGTACCATCTACCAGATACCTAGAGGGACATAATGAGGTGGCTGGAATTTTACAGGGTGTCCTAAAAGTTTTAGTCTAGTTTTAAGCTTTAATAACTTCAGAAGTGTATCACGTGTATTATGGGTGTTACGTTGTTTGCCTACTCAATGGGTGGGGGAGGGTCTGGATGGAGGGAAAGAATTTGTAACTGAAAATAAAAATCTTAAATTAAAAAAATTAACATCAGAAGTGTAAATTCTACAAACCTACAAAAAATTTGAAAGGCTAATTATTTAAAATTCCAAATGTTGATATGTTTCTTATTAAAATTCAGCATAACTACTATCTTGTGCTATATATTGCTCCGGCTGATTTTCAGGCTTTCTAAAAACTTCCATCAAGCTGCTCCTCGGTAACCAAAAGGACTGAATTTGGAATCCTGACCTTGGGCTCACCCAGAGAAAGGGATCTGGATGTGAACTCCACAAGAATCCACCTAATGGAGGCAGATCAGATGGCCAAGGAGACCAAGCAAGAAGACCTTCTCTACTCATCCGTGACTCTAAGAATGTCATTCTCAAACTGTTGCACACACAGTGCATAATGACAAGGTGCCCCATCTTGTTGAGATGAAAATTTATTTTTCAAAATTCAGAAGCCTAGATAACTATAAAATAAATTTAAAGAATTAAATTTTCAAATGATACTTTTGTAAGTTTGTAGTAGTTATAGTTCTGAAGGTATTAAAGCCTAAAGAAGCACTAAGTCTTTTGGGACACCTTCACCTCACTACTTTATACACTAATAAATAGCATATTCTCCATAAAACCTCAGACCATCCTGGAGGATTCAGCAAGTACCTTTAGAGAGAGAATCGTAGTCCACAATTCCTCATATATAGTACTGATTTATAAAAATTTAAGAATAGAATTGTTAATAGATATCACTGTACCAAACACTCATAATCTCCAAACTACATAAAATAAAAAGCTCTCAAAACACAGAGATCTAGCAGGAGGAATTGCAACCCTGTGGGAACAGGACAAGGTTCAGTTCATCTCTGTTATTCTGTATGTTACTTGACTCAGCCCAAAGATGTTTTTAGTGAGTCTACAGAGGATAAGCTGACATCCCAGTACTTTTATTCAATAATAATAATAATAATAATAATATAATAAATAATAATAATAATAAGCAGTTATATTTTATCTACCCGTGCAACAGGCTTTCAAATATTAAACGTACATAGCAATAACATGGTCTTTCCTCAGAATTGTTTCTATGTGAATTCCATTAAAACATGGTGATAAAAATGAGGTTAATATAAATAATACAAATTTAAGTCTAGTCTTTTAAAGTTTACAAATTGCTTTCCAGACATCTCACTGGGGTCGCACAAAAACCCTGCGAGGCAATGCATATATTATTCTATCCACTTCACAGATGAGGAAACTGAGGCTTAGAAGAATTGACTTGCCAAAGGTCACATGGCGAGTGAGTACCAAAGTCCACACTTGAACCCAGCACTTTGAAGTCTAGGAGCAAATAGTGTTACTATGCGGGGCTCAGTTTCCTCATGTGTAAAATTAAAGGGCTGCACTAGAGGTCTCTTTCAGCTCTCGATCTGTGAGCTTCTGATCCAGTAGATGAATGGTGTGTGCTGCCTAGGAGGCCTCAGGGAGAGGTACCTGGGGTAGGATGTCCCAGTAAGCAGCACTAACAAGCTGACATGGAGGGGGACATTGAGTACAAGCATCAAAAAATCAGTGTACTTGTCAGCAGTGGGGGACTCTTCAATTAGGTACAACTCCCAGACACAGTCATCGAGCAGAAGGAAAATAAAGCTACAGGTCTCTTTGATGAGACACATTTTTTATATTTCATGAAAAACATGAAAAAAAACCCCTATCCCCAAATGAGGGAGGCTATATTTCTGCAGAAATCCGTGTGGCTGTCTGAGGTCTCGCCACCTCCACTCCCCAGATCAATGCTTATTAGAGTGATGGGAGCCAAGCTGCCTTCTCTGGCTCCCAGCCGGGCTCCTCTGCCTGTCACAGACAATCCTTCTAGCCTGGCTTCTGCTGGCAATTAGAGCCAGCCTCCCCACACCAGATGACCGGGCGGCAAAGGGAGGGATTTGGGAGCTGGGGGTGGAGGGAAAGAAGAAGCCAAGGGGAAATCTCAGAGAGCCCAACTTAGTCCATTTAGGTCTGAGACATCATCTAACCCTCATTTTTGAGAAATTTTTTTAAAACTATCATTGATCTTTTATTTTTACATCATCTTTTTCCTATTTTTTCCCCAATTTTTTCCACTCCCTCCCTTGAACTCTCCCTTGTAACAATAACTAAATGAAGCAAAACATCTAATACAATGATTGTTTGAAAATGCATATGGTATGCTCCCCTGCTGGTGCCTCGCCTCTCTGCTCAGGGAGGGGCCAACCCAGTCATAGGATCCTGGGGTCGTAGGCCTGGAAAGGTCCTTTGGAAATTTAGGATCATCGATTTGGAGCTGGAGGGGACTTTAAGGCCCTAAGTCCAACCACATCATTTTACAGAGAAGGAAACTGAGACCCCAGGGGGTTAAGGGATTGCTCAAGGTCACAAAGCGAGGAATTAAAAGAGGAGGAATTAGAACTCGGATTCTGGCTCTTTCTGCCTTCCCATACTGCACTTTGAGACAGAGGCATGTCAACTAGGGGGTGGGGGGAGAGGAACCTACCTTTCCCTCGGGCCCATGTGTAGGATCTACCGATGCCGATGCTCCTTGGGTCACTCATGGGAGGTTCTATAGGGGGGAGTCTGAAGTGGGGTTCACTGGCTTGGCCCGGTATCTTCAGTGGCAGGATGTACTTGGGCAGTGCTTTGTAGAACCATGCCCCGGACCTCTTCCAGACCTAGGGATAAGACACATGTTTGCAGTGAGCGATACCTGGGTGTCCCCTCTCTTCCCTAAGCCCCTCTGTTTTCATTTTAGCCTGGACCTCTGGCATATGGGTAGCACAGGGAATAGAGCACTGGACTTGGAATCAGGAAGACCTGAGTTTGAATCTTCTCCCTGACACGTCCTAGCTATACGACCCTGGCTGAGTCACTTTACCTCTGTCTGCCTCAGTTTGCTCATCTGTAAAAGGGGATGAAAATAGCACCTACCTCTTAGCAATGTTGTAAAGATCAAGTGGCATACGTCAAGTGCTCTGTAAACCTTAAAAGGCTACGCAAATGCTAGCAAATATTGTTATTTTATGGTGTGGAAACTCCCTCTACCAATGCGAGTTAGCAACTTGTATGCAATTTACAGCACTAGAAAATTGCCTGGAACAGGAGAGGTTCAGTGGGGGACTGGTCCAGAGTCTCACACACAACCAGGATGAATCAGAGGCAGACCCAGAGGGCAGGCCTTCCTAACTCCAAGGTTGGCCATGATGCCAGGCCGATCTCTAAACCTGCCATGTTGCAGGGAACCTGCCAAGCACTTGTGATTTAATAGGTGTGGATATTGTCTCCACTAACACTGATTGCCACCCCTCTGCATCTCCGTGGATGTGCCAAGGGAGTTGAGGAGCCTAAGCTGCCAGATGCAGGAGAAGATGACTCTCTCTGCCCACAGCTGGTCCTCGGACAGCAGGCACAAGTCTGTTGCCTTGGGCAGGGTCTGCCAGAGCCAGCTGCCCCCCTGGCACAGCCTGGGTCACCTCACAGGCGTGATGGAGCCTCAGAGGGCGTCTCCTCATGCGTCTGACATGTTCTCTCTCTCCTTTTTCCCTCCTTCTTCTTGTCCTTTATTCAATTCATCGTGCAATTATTAAGCACCTACCTACTTAGATGCCAAGAGTTGGGCTTGGCAGGCAGCAATAAAACAGAGCCTGCCCTCAAGGGTCAGAATGGGCTTCTTGAGAACAGGGAGAATCTAACATTTCTATCTGTGCTCCTCAGAACTCAGCACAGGGCTTTGCACACAGTAAGTGCTTAACAAATGCTTCATTCACTTATTCAAAGATCTTACATTTTTTAACTCTGAGTTTCAGAGCCTGTGTTGATCCACTAGTAGTTATCATCATCGTCATCATCATCATCATCACCACCACCACCACCACCATAATAATAATAATAATAATAATAATAATAATAATAATAATAATAATAATAGCACTTATACAGTGGTCTGCTAGGCGGGTCAGTAGATAGAGCACTGGGCCTGGAGTTGGGAAGACCCGAGTTCAAATCCAGCCTCAGACACTTACTAGCGGGGTGACCCTAGGCAAGTCACTTCACCCTGTTTGCCTCAGTTTCCTCATTTGTCAAATGAGCTGGAGAAGGAAATGGCAAACCACTCTAGTATCTCTGCCAAGAAAACCCCAAATGGGGTCATGGAGAGTCAGATGTGACTGAAAAATGACTGAACAACATTTATATAGCACTTTAAGGTTTGCAAAGTGCTTTACAAATATTATCTCATTTGATCCTTACAATATCCCTGGGGGGTGGGTACTGATATTATTCACATTTTACATATCAGGAAACTGAGAGAAATGGAGGTTAAGTGACTTGACTAGGTTCACATAGCTAGTAAGTGTCTGGGGAAGGATTTGAACTCAGATTCTTCCTGGCTTCAGGCCCAGCACTCCATCCGTTATTCCGCATAGCTGCCTATACAATGAAATCACAGGTTCAGTTCCCCTCTCTGCACATCCAAATACAAACAGAAAAATGTCAGCTATTATTGTGATTTATACATACTTCTACAATCATGTCCCTTTTTTACTTCACTGGCCAAACCATCTTCATCATCTTCATCATCTTCTTCTTCCTCCTCTCCCCCCATAATGGGATACAGGCAAAGTATGACCTTGCCCCACACAGCTGACGTGCCCGTCAGATGCCCAAGGGAGGAGCCAGGTGACTGGGAAAGTTTCAATATCTTTTAAGGAAAAGAACCAGCCACCCCAGAGTAGGGTGGAGACAGGGAGGGGCCTGGATGATGCTTCTTCTATCTCAGGAGGACCCAAATTCAAATAAAACCAATTAGAAAATCACAAACTCCATCATCCAGAAACAAAAGTAGCAGGCCCCACCTCCCACCTGCTCTGCTGCTGTCTGGAGCCTTGGGGCAGATTCCTTGGTCTCTTCTTCTGAAGCAGGGCCTTTGGCCATTGGGTAACTGGCTTCCCAGTGGACCCCAGTGGGCACTCCAGATAGCAGCCTCGGCTTGTCCAGGCTGCCTTCTGGCCAGATGATTTTCCTGTGCCCTCTTTCTCCTTCCTTATTCAACGCTTCATCCCACTGCCGGGAGCATTGCTGCAAAGCCCTGGTGCATTAGTAGGCATTGAAAGCCCACGGCCCTGATCTCATTTGCTCCCTTGCGTTCTAATTGCTGGTTACGGCTGCAATTTTGGCCACCTAATGTTTTGGGTCCTTTCAAGGGTGCTTTCTAAATCGATTTTTCTCAGCCAGTTCTTCAAGATGAGTTTCCAAATAACACGATTCAGCTGCACTGTGATAGCATTCACTAGGCTATCATGCCCTCTCTAGACACACCAATCACAGGCAGGCCTTAGATGAGTGGTAGAGTTAGAGTGGGGCAGATCGGTGGTGCAGTGGATAGAGCACCGGGCCTGGAATCAGGAAGGCCCAAGTTCAAATGTGGCCTAGGGCACTTACTAGCTTTGTGACGCTGGGCAAGTCACTTAACTATGTTTGTCTCAGTTTCCTCATCTGTCAAATGAGTTGGAGAAGGAAATGGCAAACCACTCCAGTATCTTTGCCAAGAAAACTGGAAATGGAGTCACAAAGAGCTGGACACAACTGAATAAAGACTGAACAAGAAGGGTTTTTAATGCTGGAAAACTCTGCTTTCCATGATGGGGTGGAGGTATTGCTTTAGGGTTCAGTAAGGTTGAGTGGGTTCTAGTGAACAGATCAAAAGTACCAGTGAGTGGACAAGAAGAGGAGGAGGAGAAGGAGAAGGAGAAAAAGAAGTTTAGACTTGTGGTTTCATTCATACAGAGAAGTCCAGGATGATGAAAGTCCTCTCCCAGTACAGGCTGGCATCTTCTCTGCAGTTTACAATCTTACCAGGTATTGTCGAACTCAGATAGAAACAGGGCCACTAAACCACACATAAGGTTCCCTGCAGGCATCAACTGACTTAGAAAGCCACATATTAATGTGATGTGTGTTATATTAGATTTTTATTTATTTTGCTAACTAGTTCCCAGTTACATTTTCATCTGGCTCAGGCTGTTCTCAGGAGTGTTGGGGAACACAGGTTTGACACCTCCGGTCTAGAACACTGAGAGGTTAAGTAATTTGCCCAAGGACGTGTCAAGGGAGCACTTGAATCCAGTTCTTCCTGCTTCTGAGGCCAGCTTAGGCCATGCTTCTTCTAGAAGAAGTGGCACTCTATAAAAAGAAATTGACGTTAGTAGACATGAATGAGTTTATAAATAATGAAAAGGGTAACATTGCCTAATGGTTAGAGAGCTGGCCTTAGAGCCAGGAAGATCCACCCAAGACCCATGCTGGTTTGACCTCTCACTTCATCTCTCAGGGATTCAGGCAACTGTCTGAGAGAAAGTGCTGATCTGCACTGATAAAGGGACTTTCCTTTTCTAGAAAGGAAGTTGGGGCCTCGAGGCCACATGTGGTCCTCTAGGTCCTCAAGGGGGGCTCTTTGACTGAATCCAAACTTCGCAGAACAAATCCCCTTAATAAAAGGTTTTATTCTGTAAAACTTGGACTTAGTCAAAAGGCTGCACCCCAGGCCCTAGCTTCCCCACCCCTGCTCTAAACTAATGAAATCAGTGGGTTCCCCTCTGATTCCACTCACCCTCCGGGCAACATTCCAAACCAAAATGCCACCACTTAACAATGTGTTTTTTAGAATATAAGCTCCCTGAGGGCAAGGATTAGCTTCACTTTTGCTTAGCACAGAATTTGACACTTGGAAAAGGTTTAATACACTCTTTTTTCATTCACTTGATACTAACCAAAAGAGTGAATAGTGTTCAGGACAGAGTCCTAGCCTTGACTTGGTGGCAGGAAGAGCTGCCTCCCTCAGACTCACTAGCTGTGTCTCTAACCTTTCCGTGCCTGTAGGCAATGCTCTGGAGTTACCAATGAGTTGCCCAGTTGGCAAGAGTTTCCAAATCACGTGCTCCCTAGTAATAACAGTGATAACAAAGATGATAGTAAATATTTTTATAGCATTTTAAGGTTTGCAAAGTGCTTCACGAATATTATCTCATTTGATCCTCCCAACAACCTCCAGAGACAGGTATTATTGTTTCTATTTTACAGGTGAGGAAACTAAGTCAAACAGAGGTTAAATGACTTGCCCAGGGTCACACAGCTAGTAAGTGCCTAAGGACAGATTTGAAATCAGGTCTTCCTGACTCTATCCAGTTCCAGAGCTCTATCCATTGCATCACCTAGCTGCCTCTATACCAATTAAAACACAGATCTGGACCAAAAGAAAAAAAAAGCCTAACTCCAAACCCAAACTCTCTTAATAACAATAATAGTTCCCATTTAGTTGCACTTGATAGGACTGGTCCTATCAACAAACGAACAAGTGAATGAATGAATGAAATTGGCTCGATCAATTCTTAACCAACTGCTAAGTCCATAGTCAGTCTGTTAACCACAGTGCTGTGCTAGAATGAAAAGGGGAATATGTAGGGAAAAGGGGAGAAGAGAACACAGAGGAAGAGAAGGTGTTTATTGATTTATTCCTTGCTCTTGAGGAGTTTCTAGTTTCTAGCAGCCAATTCCCAATCTAGGAATGGTGGGAGGGGCAGGCATGAGCTCCTCTCCTCTACAATTCTCTCACAGTCAGGAGGAGGAAAGAAAGAAGACCCACTTCCTAGCACCCTCCCTCTGACCTCCCTTTCCTCCTACCATTCCATTGAAGCCCAGCTAAACCTCCAGATCCCTAGGAGGTTATTTCTAGGCCCACCCCATACCAGAGTTAGCTGTCCCTGCTCTGGACTCCTAGGGCTTGCCACATCAATTCTACAGTGTTGATGTATGTGTCTATGCCTCATCACCCCAGCCAGTAATAAAACCAATTCCTTCCATCTGTGCCAAGTTGTAGAGCTTATGAGGCACCTCGCTGGGGTGAGTCAACAAACGATGGGTGCTCAGTCAATATCTGTTGACTGGCTGACAGTCCCAAGCCCCAGCTGGGCATTTGCCAGAATGAGTTTTGACCCCAGCAATCTCTGTCTAAGGGATGAAGGGTGGTGGTTGATGGATGGAGGCACTGGAGAAGATGGAGGTTGGCTTCATTTTATTCCTCCTTTCCCAAACAGGAAATGTCCCTTTCCTTCCCAAAATAGGAAATGTTGCCTTATTTGCATTATTTTAATTAAATGAACTGATAAACTGAATTATTATAGGGGAGGAAATAAAAGAGAGGAAAGGGAGGAGGCATCCACGACAATTCTGAGGGAAATGGAGTCAACTGTAGGAACAAACCATAAAGGCACACTGCAGAGACCATCAATCACTCATGTGCTAAGCACTAAGGGCACCAAAAAAAGAGGGCAAGAACAATTCCTGCCCTCAAGGAGCTTACATTCTAGTGGGAAAGAAAAACATATAAGATACCTACAGAGGAGAAGGAAGAGGTAACCTGAGAGGGGAAGAAATGAGCAGCAGGGAAGACCAGAAAAGATCTCCTGTAGAAGGTGGGATTTCAACTGGGTCTTGAGAAAATCAGGGAAACTCTAAGTCAGAGGAGAGGCACTCCAGGAATGGAGAGGAAGCACGTACAAAGGCTCAGTGATGGTGACGACAGGTAGCAGAGGAACTGACACAGGCCAGTGGTGCTGAACTGTAGAGTTCATGGAGGAGAGAAAAGTAGAAGGAGGATGGAAAGGTGGGTCATGAAGAGCTTTACATGTTAAAAAGACAACTTTCTATTTGTTCTTGAAGGCAACAGAAAGCCATTAGAGCTCAGTGAGGAGGGGTGTGGGGCAATATAGTCAGACCTAATCTTCCCACAGATCTCCTTGGCAACTTAGTGGAGGGTGGATTGGATGCAGAGACTTGAGGATGGGAAGCCAGTTAGAAGGCTATTGTGGTAGTCCAGGCAAGAGGTGATAAGGGGATGAGCTTGAAGAAAGCCAGAGATTTTGAGAGGTGGAGGTAGGAAGGACTAATAGTCTAGACATGGGAGGTAGTAGAGCCAGGGTATGGAGATGGGGCATCATGTATGAGGAACAGATAGTAGGATGGTACAACTGGGTCATAGAATGTATGGAGGCTAGCAACATATAAGACAGGAAACAGGAAGAGGCCAGAGAAATTGATATTTGTTCTTAGAAGTTAATAGAGAGACACTGGGGTTTATTGAGTGGGGGAGGAAGGATGTGTGATGGGGTCAGTCTTACACCGTGGTCTCTGCCTCTCAGGGTCTCTCCTGGCCCAGCTGAGTCTGCCTTTTAAAGTTTATTTAAGGATACATGTTGTGGAGCCTGCCTTAGGGGTAAGAATGACTGGGTATGGCTCTGAGCAGAGTACGTAGGTGCCACAATGATTACAGTGCTGGGCCTGGAGTCAGGAAAACCTGAATTCAAATCTGGTCTCAGACATTTACTAGGGTTACCCTGAGAAAGTCACTTAACCCTGTTCACCTCAGTTTCCTCATCTGTCAAATGAGCTAGGGAAGGAAATGGCAAACCATTCTAGTATCTTTGCCAAGAAAACCCCAAATGGGGTCATGGAGAGTCAGGACTGAAATGATTGAACAACACCACAGCTCTTTGCAGAGCCACCCTTCCTTAGGATAGCCACCATTGTCATATAGACTCAAGAGAGAACCCTGGATTTGGAGACAGAAGAGTTGGCCTAGCTCTGCTCCTCACTGTCTGGTGTGACCTTGGCTAAACCTCTCTGGGCCACAATTTTCTCATCTATAAAGTCAGTGGCTAGAACGAAATGATCCTTAAGGTACCTTTAGGTTCTAATTCCACATCCTGGTGATCCCCAGAGCAAAGTCCTCTATCAGACCAACATGATGCAGTCAGGTCAGTACCCTATTTGGAGTTAGAAGACCTGAGTTCAAGTCTCAGCCCTACCAGGCAGACCCTTATTACCTATGTGACTCTGGGCCAACTTGATTCACTTTTCTGGGCCCAACTTTCTTCTTCTGTAAGATGGGGAGGTTGGGCTCGAAAGGTTACTTTCAGCTCCAAATGGATGGTCTTAAGTTCCTAACAAGTCCTGTTAAGTCATTCATATGTCTTCTTCTCCCCAATACTAGGGCACTCACCACCTCTTAACTGGACAGCTGGGATAACCTCTTCAGTGGCTCCTTAGCCTTTAGGTCACCTGGCAGTCTCCACCATGCTGCTAATATGGCACTCCCAAAGCACAGTTCTGACCCCCTCCTTCCTCTGCTCAAGAAGCTCCAGGGCTCCCTCTCACCATTGGGGTGCGGCCTGCTTTCTCACACCCCTTCCACATTTCCCCTCTTCACACATTCTACTGTCCATTGGTTTTCTTGCTATCCCTCACACACTAAGTTCCATTTATAAGGTTCAGAGGACTGAATGCACTGTTTCTCCACCTCTGCTGCTCAGAAGCTCCAGCTCCTTCAAAACTCGGTTCAAGGGCCACCTCCTCCATGAGGCCCTTCCTGATTTTCCCAGTTGACAGCGCCTCCTCACACATCCCAAATTACCCTTGTAGATATTTTCTATGCATGTGTGTTGTTCCCTCCAAAAAAAAGTTAGCTCCTTGAGGAGAAGGACTGTCTCACTTTTGTCTATGTATCTCCAGAGTGGGGGCTTAATAAATGGCTGTTGGTTGATTATCTTAGACAAGAACAGCACCGTAACTCATTGTTCTGGTCCCCTGAGAAAGTGCCATAATTTGTGCCCACTGTAAGTAACTGATGTACGTGTGGCCTGGATTGACCTTGGAGACTCCTGGAGGGAAGATTCTGGGATACAGTATTGCCCTGTGTGTGATGAGACAGATAGACAGACAGACAGATAAATGATAGACAGCTAGATGACGGATAGGTAGATAGATAGATAGATAGATAGATAGATAGATAGATAGACAGACAGACAGATACTGGCTCCCATGAGTAGAACACTGTGGGAACATTACTGGGAAAGGGAACAGGGCAGAATAAGAATGCGGAGGAGCTCACCTGAGATGTGGCCATTGTGGGGAAGGGACTGAGGGAAAAATATTTGGGCATTTCTAACTGTAATTATCTGTTCCTATTAAGTAGGTGCTAAGCTCAGTTGATTCTGTGTACTGAAGAACAGACGCTATCAGTGTTTTTCTAAATTTCTGCAGCCCTGGACAAAGCCCTGGTTATCCCACCTTAGTTATGGCTCTGAACAAGAGACAGTCTGGGACTACCTATCTTGAAGCTCATCTCC